GTGCTAAGGCAACAAACTCTGTACCGTAGCAGTAAATACCCTGGGGCTGCATATTCAGGAAAAAAAATATTCACATGATGGTTTTAGTACTAGTGGTTAGCGCAGTACCTCAACTAACGAATTCTCGAGGCGTGCTTTCCTTTGCAAAAATTTTATATTTGAAGTGTCTTGCAGCTGTAATAAAAGAAGCTAACCGGCGCTTAACACTTGGGTTACAAATGGCCGTCTCGCGAGAGCACGCTCATAAGAACGATACAGAGACAACATCCTGAATACCGATTCCCTTCATCACTTATTCATTCATGTGAGACTGTTTCTGTTTAAGGAGACAACTTACACCGATTGGGGAGCTAGATTGCGGATTGGGAGGTACGAGGGGAGAGGAGGGAGCGGGGTCAGGAATGAGGAAAGAAAATTCATACTACTGTGAAGCATTTTAGTGGGCGCAAGCAGGCTTTTGGTATTTTGATTTACCGCATTCACCAGAATCTGTGTTTTTCGAAAAATCGAATCGACCAGCACACCCCGAAAGAACCAACAAGGTCTGGTACCCTCGTGAAAAATCAACCCTCATCCTCAACTTTCTTCCACTTTGACAAATATTAGTACTGCTCAGGCTCAATGTATCGCTGGAATCTTCTCCCACATCTAAACGAATTTCCAGTTTTGTAGCAACCATCCCCATCAGTCTCACCTAGACCTTATCCTTCCTTCCCATTCTCTCCTTTACGTACATCAATTCTGCATCATAAATGAACAAAGCGTAAAGCAATTTGAAAACAAAACCCATGGAATAAACGCAACAAAAAACTGAAGGATATATGCAAAAAAGCTGGATCAGCTCGACCTGTAAGAAAGTGAGCGCACCTCATGACTTGCGAAGATAGCTCACGGACATCACACAAACAAAGGCATAAAAGACCTACATGAACCCAGATTGCTCTGGAAGCACACAAAGACACAGCCGTCCCGTGGCAAACTGAAGTGAAAAATGATAATAAACACCAGCAAAAC